CTCATCTTAGAAGAATTCAGTGCATGCAGCAGCATATGTGAGCAATGAAGTATTCGGTGAAGGTGTTTGTAAGACAGCAAGATTGAAGACAGTTTTCATCTCATCATAGTTCACTCTTGGCTAATGCATATAGAAAATGTTATTCTTCTTATGACTGTTAGCTTTGGAAATCAGTTATCTTCATCCCATTGAAGATTATTATATTAAAGTGAGTGCTGCTTGTTTGTTGTTTGACTGCATTCTTTCGGTGGTTTGAGATACTTGTTGGATGGATCACTTGCTGGATCAAATAGTTTAGGTTTGTGAATGCAGTGCATTAACTGGAGAGGAAGGATGAACTGTTGATTGGAACAGAAAATTTGAAATGATAAAACTTTTCAGGTTTGCTAGCCACAATTTGTTAAGTGTCAGTGAATGAGGAATGATTTTATTAAATAAATTATGAATAATAATTGTCACTGATTGCACATGATCATGAACACATAATAAATAAACTACACATTTAATTGCACTTCACTGAAATCAATAAAACATAACAACTTCAAATGAAATCATTATGACTGTTCATTTAACACATCATTATTCATTCACTCTTCATGCTATTTACAATTTTATTTTCTAGCAAACCACATGAAGACAGAACTCAAGAATACACATTTGTAATCATGGAAATGTTCATTCATTTATTTATATGAGAAGAGAATCATATCGATACGACGACTTTTGGTGGGGTGTGTGGGGTGTGTTGAATCTTTTGCGAGAGGATTTGNAAGCAAACAAGCAATTTCTGTTGCTTTCAATCACTTTTTAAACGATCAACTCTTCAAACGGCTTGAACGGTTAACTGCCACGAATTGTAAAAATAATCTAATGCTGTGAAATTCTTTTTCCATTGACTTTCATCATAGATTGCAAAAGTAGCACATAAGAATGTATCCGTTTAGCTACGATTAACGCTTATTGACCAGATTCTCTCGTGAAAAAATTCAAATCATAAAAATAATTTAGTTGCACGCTATTGATCATCGATACGATCAATATCAGCGCCGAATCCTCAATAATTCTCTTAAAATTCTCTCTTGAGGCGGGCTTAACGCCTTGTTCCATCCTCAAAGAAAACACCACCATCGATAGCGCAATATTTCGGACAGATACCCTTCTCGCCAGGTGTTCCTGGAGGTCCTGGTGGTCCTGGAGGGCCAGGTTGGCCATCAACTCCGGCTGGTCCATCTGGGCCTGGTGCTCCTTTGGGTCCTGGTGGTCCTGGTGGTCCATCGGCTCCAGATTGTCCAGGTGGTCCGGGTGGTCCTGGTGGTCCTTGATCTCCTGGCTCTCCTGGCTCTCCAGGTGTGAGTGGTTCGCTTTGTGCTGGTGTTCCAGGTTCTCCGGGTGGGCCTGGTGGGCCGGCCTCTCCAGGTGGGCCTGGTGGTCCTCGTGGTCCAGGGCTGCCTGGGCTAGCGTCAACTCCTGGTCGGCCAGGTGATCCAGCATCTCCTGGATCTCCTGGAGCTCCTGGTGGTCCTGGTGGGCCAGGTGGACCTATAAGAGCGAATCATATTACCTTGGAAGACATGTTCATCCAACAATCTAATTCACATTATGAGGGAATTGTTGAAAATTTCGAACCGATGATATTTGAAGCAATGGTGAAATATGAAAAATCGTCACGAACTGAAANTTCACCAAAATTTAACGCTCTCAACATCACGTTCACTCACAACGATCCTCGAGAATGACCGTCACATTGATCTCTTCTCTCATCTTGATCGAAAATATGAATACTTTTTTCTCACTCCATGTGAAATTTTCTTTTCCCAAAAGGATCGCCAAGAATTTTCAAGGAATCACTTCCGAACGTACCTTGTGGGCATGGTTTACATGGTGGTGGAGTGATCGGGTCACACGGGGCAGTTGGTGGTCTTCCAGGTGTTCCAGGCGTTCCTGGTGCTCCAGGTTTACCCGGTTTTCCAGCTTTGCCTGGTGGACCAGCCGGTCCTGGTGGCCCCGGCAAACAACATCCTTCACACTGAAGGTTTGGTGATGGATTCACATCGGCTGCTCCGTATGCTTGCCTGGCTGTCCTGTTGTGATTTCCTTGAGGCGCACTCTTCATATAGTTCACTTCTGTGTAGATGTCTTTTGCTGATCCCTAAAGGAATCATTAACTTTGAATAAGATCATGTTAAGACTATTGAGACTATTACAAATTCAGTAGGATTTCGAGTAATTGCTGAAATCGTGATCCACTTAGAGCAGGTGTTTGTGATCGGTTAGGGACCAAAATTTAGGGGACGTGATTCAGCAAGTTTGGTAAAACTCTGAACGTGGATATCAGCGAATAGTTGCGGGAGCTATTCTATGTAAATTGAGAGGTTACAAGTAGTAACCGCCAGCGAACGGGGTTATTACTGTTCAATTAGAATATGGCTGTAAAAGCAGTTTCGTTTCAAAGCGCTAAACGATCAAATCAGATAATCAAGAGTCAAAATGAAAATGAAACAAAATAATCGAACAAATAAATCATCAATAATACGAATCGAAAAGCAAATTAGTAAGTTATTCGACAAAAAATAAGAATAATAAAGATAAATAAGCATACGACCGCACCTTACAAAAGCTGATTTCATGATGCATCTGTCGTCGAACATGACTGACATAGTTGTAGACCATCGGTAAAGTAACAACAACTGACATAACAGCCACCACTGAGAAGGTGACCGCTGAATAGGCGACAAATTTATAGGCTTTAATACGACCGTCAGACTCCATTGCTGCTGTGGCTGTGGCTACCTTAATTCCAATATCAATAATAAAAATAATAATAATAATAATGATAGTAATCAGAAAGTGACACACTACCGCACTACTTCGAAATGTAATGGGCAATAGCGCGATGCCTTGCGGGATTAGACTTATGCACTGATGGGATTGAAGTGGTCTGAAATGAATGCAGATTCGGGATGTCTCTTATATATGAAGCACGAACATCGACCCACATCCCGTCACTATGAAACGTCGTTGATACGCACATCTAGGTCAGTGCTTTGATTCTACGCGCACATCGTTGTGCGCTTTGTTATATCATTGATCTTTCGTCACTGATGCAACAATCACCTTATGTGATAATACGCATCATTCCATTCCATTATCAGCGTCCATGCCCCTCTCCATAGCCGATTGAAATTCTTCGGAAATGATATGCTCTCAGTTCTAATCACGTTATATGAATGCCTCTTCTCGCAGTTCGTTGTTATCGGATACACATTCAATTCAATTGTTCGCATCTTCTCGTCCTTTTGTGATATAATCACGAAATCAACGCTCAATTGAACTCTTTCTAAAACTGAAATGGATAATACTGAAACGATCCTGTCGCTGATAATAAAACTGATCAAACCACTTTTCATCAGTAATCAAATGTCACTTCAAACCACATATTTGAACTAAATTACACAATGGTATGCGCATATTGATGGGAACTGATTATGGGTGATTTGGAAAGCGACACATCGAAGAATATCCCATTCATGACGGCAATACTTGCAAGCGTAACATAACTAGAACGTCTGTTGGTTGTCACTTTCAAACAGCACTCTCCAATCACAAAACTTTCATCAGCATATGTCCACTGGCAATAATCTCGTTCGAAGAAGCAAGAAGGGTTTCAGAAGTTAATTATGCTGTCAGAGTTGCATGCTTATCTTGAATAATGTCTAAATGTGCTTTGCAGAATCCAAATACCCTTTGATCAGCATGGTCGATAAATGATCATGAAAGATGATGCAGCATAGTGTTTTATTTTCAACTGATAATGGTTTTTACAAATGGGATGAAATTCTGAGGTCGAAGCAGCTGATTTCGTGCAAATGTTGATTAACAGCAACTAAACTGTTGTCAAGAAAGTAATTGATGATTGAAAATTATCACAAATCTTTTCGTAAAATCTTGATCTGGATTATTTCATTAATTTTGTCATTATTTCATAATGGGA